AGAGTGCTACACCGGACGCACCAGACTATATTTCAGTAAATCTCATGAATCATAGGAACATTTTTTTGTTAAATAAAATGTGCCTTTTTCTATATTCGTAGGACCTTACAAGGGTACGTTAGTTTAGTTTGAAGAGAGATGGCAATGATTAATGATTCAAACTCTGTAATGTTATATTTTCCATAGAAACATGTGGTACTGCACATCTACAAGAATACTACTCCCTCTGTAAACTAATATAAGAGTGTTTAGATAACTACTTTAGCATTCTAAACGCTCTTATATTAGTTTACGGAGGGAGTAGTATTTATTAATTTTGTGGCTGAAAATTAATTATGGCATATTTTAACACGACAGCATGCCTTGTTAAACCAGGTCTAGGACGTCATCATCAGACAAGCCACACGACTACCGGAGACCTTGATCACCGCCATCTCCTCGCCGTGCAGCTCCATCGCCGAAGCAGCCTATCCGCCATAAATAAACAGTACCTTAGTGACTGAATGCATACTGCACCGCGGTGACCACGCCCAGGGCAGGTTGATTGCATGCCTCACATCAACCCCCGGTTGTTCAAGCCTAGCTTGCTTGGTGGACGATAGATAGGGGCATGCATTTTGTGCATCATTAAACCCTTGCAACAGGAGCATACATTCTGACTATTAAACATCACCAATTCACCAAGCAACTCCATCGTGACTAGCAATGATACGGTATACGAAGGTAGCGAGCTGTACGCTTCGTTTATGGACCAGCTCCCATACAGAGCCAGCAGGTTCAGGGACACAAACAGCCCAGGGGAAGGGAAACCTGACTCGGGACAAAACAGAAAACCAGCGCATGCATTCAGCAGAACCAAAACGGCGGCCAGGAAGGCCGATAACCCAACCCACAAGCTAGGCCCGACCAACGGCCGAATGTAACACTCGAGACGAAACCAACTGGTGGTCTCTGCAAGAAGACGGTCGACCTGCGAGTTACATCAGCAGGCTGTCAGAGAAGCTCAGCTTCTAAAACTCAAACAAGCAATAGTGCACCACATATCATCGCACAGATAAAAGCGCCGAGGCGCAAATCCAAATAACAGGACAGGAGAAGAAAACACCATCAACACTCTCCTTAAGCTACAAAAAGGAAAAGAGCGTTCAATTGGGCCATTTTGATTATCTTTTCTGAAGTTGTTCCCTCATAGGAATTCTGTTCTTCAGAGGAATCTGAAGCCCTCAAAGCATTTTCACAGGAGTATCTTAGCCTTGTATAACACTCCCATGAAACAAAAGTCAAAGAGCTCGATGCATATCTTAGCCGTGTATAGGAGTGATGTAGCAAACAGCGGATATAATCATCCTACTCAGTAAGGTAAAATCTCCCCTAAGATGCTCATCCGTTCAGACAACTCTCCCAACTCCAGTCCAGACACACCCAAGGATGTAGCTGGACGCTTATTGTCTACAAATATTCCTCCATCAAGCTAGATAAGCACACTATGCGTGTGCTTAATTATGTAACATGTTCAGACTATGTACATTCAAAACAACCCTTTTTTATTCGTTGAAAGAAAACAAACCTGCTTTTTTATTTCATTGAAAACAACCCTCTTTAATTTTGTTGAAAACGATCCTTGCAATTAAGCACAGGCTTCATCGATGTCTTGAGGTACATAAACCCCATGCATGCTAGGCCTGATATTTTGCGTGGACTCTACACCTCGTTTCATTGTAGCCACAAAATATGGGTCCAATTGTTCAGATAACGTGATGTGGACTATTATGGTAG